CATCCTACGGGCAACAGTACATACTGGTGGCAGTAGATTACGTGTCTAAATGGGTTGAGGCAGTGGCTTTGCCAACTAACGACGATCGGGTGGTGACTAAATTTCTGAAGAAAAACATTTTCACAAGGTATGGCACCCCAAGAACAATTATTAGTGACGGTGGAAAGCACTTTTGTAACCGCCTTTTTGCGTCACTACTAGCCAAGTATGGAGTAAAACACCGCGTTTCGACCCCATATCATCCTAGGACTAGTGGGCAAGTGGAAATCTCCAATGGCGAGTTAAAGAAAATTCTTGAAGTTACAGTCAATACATCACGTAAGTATTGGGCTACGAAATTGGACGACGCACTTTAGGCTTATAGAACAGCATTTAAGACACCAATCAGCATGTCTCCATATCGACTGGTGTTTGGAAAGGCCTGTCATCTGCCCATTGAGTTAGAGCATAAGGCATACTGGGCGACACACTTGCTCAATTTCAATATGAGGACAGCAGAAGAAAATAAGGTTCCATAACTTCATGAGCTAGATGAGTTTTGTTTGGATTCATATGAGAATGCAAAAATTTACAAGGAAAAGACCAAGAGATGACACGACAAGCATATACGGGAGAAGGAGTTTAGGTTGGTCAACAGGTATTGATGTTTAATTCACGCCTCAAGCTTTTTCCGGGAAAACTAAAGTTTAGGTTGTCCAGTTCTTTCACATTAGTAGCTGTGTTTCCAAATGGTGTTGTGGAAGTAGTCTCAAGATCAACAAAGGAGGTTCAAAGTAAATGGACAACGGTTGAAAGCTTATTAAGGAGGTGACTACTCCAGTGAGAAAACAACCGTGCCACTTGACAATGCAGAGTAGCCAGGATAACAAAGTCTAGCTAAAAACTGTAAATTAAGTGCTTATTGGGAGGCAACCCAATTTATAATCCTTATTTATTTTACTTCCTTTATCGCATTGCATATAGATTTGTTTCAATTATTAGTTTGCATTAAATTTAGGCACGTTTAAATTTATAAAGTATCATCATCCGATCATGTTTTCACGGAGGCCTTAAATATAATGTTGGTTATTTCAAGTGTTTGGGCTAAGTAATGCATGTTTTAGACTATTTGATCTCTAATATTTGATTTGATTGCAATAGGCAAGATCATGACATCGTGAACACTTAAACCAACATCGACCAAAGGGAAAGCATGATGAGAAAGAATGGCTAGCCGTCACCTACAGTATCTTCCACGTTCAATAGAAAAATTCAGGGAGTACCTTCGCCCTTTTCTTCCCTGTCCTCTTACATTCTTAATTATGATTTAAGACATTGATGACAATGTCTGGTTTAAGTTTGGGGGTGGGAAACACTTTGTGTTTTTAGTTTCGTATGTTTTTGTGCATTGTTTTCGTATGTTTAATTAAAAAAAATCGTTAAATTTTTATTTTATTTTTTTTATTATTTTTTTTATTGTGTGCTTGTGTGGATTGGACAGTTTGGCTGACAATGATAATTAAATTTGAGATTTGACGTTGATTTATGAACTATGGATAGGAAGCATGCTAGACTAATTGAAGCTTGAATTTGCAAAATTTGATATTATACATGCACTATAACTAAGTTTGACATTATGATGAAGTGAGTTGATTTATGCACTCAATAGATTGAATTAGTTGGACATAAATGCTTTATCAAAACTATACTAATTAATTATTCTTAGACCAAATTTAACACAATTTGGGAAGATTTTACTATTGTAGGAAAATACGGATGTGAATATGGATTCCTTGTGTGAAAAAATTTTGTGTGGATTGTCTGAGATTAACAGGATAAAATTGGATGAAAGTTTTAAATTGGAGATCGATTTGCTTGAATAGGTTTGTGATAAGGGGCATTGCACTTATCAAGGCATATATTTATAAATATAAAATTTCTCTTTGAGCCTTTATGACTCAAGCATTTAATTCTGCAAGGGTATCTTAAAACTGGTACCCTAAAATCATTTAACCTGGGAGTCATTGGCTTAAAGCCTGCTACATGGGTCATCTAAAAAGCTTAAGGGGGAGTGCAAAAAAAAAAAAGGCTAAATGCCTTGTAAGTCCCAACACTTGTTCGAGGAAATTTAACTTTCGATGAACGATAATTAGCCTAATTGAATTTTGGCAGTCGAAGCAATCAAATAATTTGATAATCCTTATTTATTGATATGTTTAACTTGCAACTAGTGACGTCCACCTGAATTGGAGAGGTGAGGATAGTGATAAAAATTCTATCTTAAATCACACACTGGAAAAAGAATGAAAAAGAATAAGTTTGAGAGTGTGTGAATCTTACGAGAGGTGAAATGATATAGTTGACCATAGAGGGTTGGGAACTGGAACAACTTGTGAATTCATTAATGTCAACTTAGTTTTTCACACTAACACGTCAGTTTTGCATTGGAAAAGTGGATATTAGTTTGGTATTGTCACTTTGAAGTAGTTTGTAGATTTAATGCCCTGATTTCAAATCCTGAGATAAAAGGCTAAACGGTCCAACCAATTATTTTTGCATGTCTGTATGTTTGTTATTATTTAGGTTATAGTTTTGTTCGAGAACGAACAAAGGTTTAAGTTTGGGGGTGTTTGATAAGTGTAATTTATGCACTTATTTAGGCCACATTTATTAAACTTTTACGTCGTCAAATTTATTAATTTCTATTTGACTTGAGTTTATTTTATTTTTAGTGACGAACCCGTTTACAACAATTGGAAAGGAAGAAAGACAAAATTGAGCAAAATCTATAATTTGTGATTAAATTCCACAAGTTTGACTTCGAGGAGAACATTGGCCGCACAAATAAAATTGTATCGATGATTAACTTGCATCATGTGGAATAAATGAGGACTTGATGAAAAAATAATAATTGGGCCTCAATTGGACCATGAATTGGAATTTATTTGCACCATTATTTGGACTTCTAATTAGATACAATAGAATAAGGGCTGCGGCTGTAGTGTGTGTGTGTGTGTATGTATATATATATATGTGTGTGTGTGTGTGTGTGTGTGTGTGTGTGTGTGTGTGTGTATATACATATATATCAATTTGGAGAAAAAAAAACATAGACAGAAAAAACGGCGGTGAGAATACAAGTTGGCAGTGGCAACAGCAGAATACATAAAAGCAACTGCCTTTTGAAATTATAAGGGGGAGATGAACCTACCGAAGGAGAAAAACGACAGCCAATTGGGAAAACATATACACACGAAAACGGGTCAAGCAAGGAGGGAATATAGCTGCTGAATTTGGAGATTTTATATACATAGAAAAAGGCTGCCTGCTGCTTAATTATAGGAGTCACGCATATTGGCAGCCTAGGGAAGAACATACAATTGTTGGCAGCTAAGAAAAATTGGAGTTTCTGGGAAAAAATATAAGGTGGCAGCTTGAGAAATTATTGAGAGAGAGACACAATAAAAAGGCTGCTGCGTGTGGGGATTAATCATACATTACATAAGGCAGCTTATATATATACACACACACACACACACACACATATATATACACAGCAACCACACGCTGGAATTGAAGCAGAAAACATAGAAAAGCTGGCCAAATTTTTGTGCAATTATTCCTCAACAATTGTGCAAATAATTTGGAAATTAATCGATTTTCAGCAATTTCTCGGTGATGTCCTTCCACTTTTCTTTGTTTAATTCCAAAAATATGCTAGGCTAAATATTCTCATGTATTGGATGGATGACAAAATTGTTTAATTCTTAGTTTTAATTTGAGACCTATGTTTTTATGTTAATTCTTGCGTTATGATTCCATTAATATGCCTATTTACATTATTTTAATGTTTGCGCACCATTAAGACAATAAATTGCTTATTCGTAGTGTTGGAAAACTCGCGGTAGGTAGAACACTGTTAATGAAACATACGGACAATAAATGTTAGGAATAATATTTCTGGCGTATGCGATCTTATATGATAATCCTAAATGTCAATGCATGTTTGCCATATGAATTCGGACTAGGAATAGGATCGTCTCGTGGTAAACATAGGTTTATTATATCTTGAGAAAGAATAATAAATAAAAGTGGAATTATCGACCGTCGCAATTGCATGAATTAAGATAATTATTACTGGTTGAGAATTAGAACTAAGAATTGATCAATGGCCTTGAAAATCCAATATGTTCACACACTTGATTGTTTTTAAAAACCAACTTTCATTGATTTCATAAGTTTTAGTTATAAAAAAAATTAGTTAGTTATTCATCAATCATCTTTCGGTTATAAACACGAATTTTAATATATCAAATATACTAGAATTAATCATTATTCCCCGTGGGACAATAACTCTCTCATCACGATTATTACTTGTACAACGAACCCGTACGCTTGTAGGAATTTGACGAACAACTTCCACTTCTGTTAAAAGTGAGGAAGTTGAGAAGAAAAGGAAGTAAAAGAAAAGAGTAATATTCGTCATTGGTAATTTAAGTAAATACTAAAAGGAAGAGAAATCATTTTTGGATTGGATAAAGGAGAAGAATATACTTTGACAAGACAGAAATAAGTCTCTATGGATGCCTTGGTCCATCTAAAGGCTTCTAAAGAAATAAACATTCCAGGTTCAAGGAAACCTCAGATCAACGTTCAAAGTGATGTAGCATGCAGAATAAGATGTTAATTTCCAATGACATGCTACATTCTAAGTTGTCAAAATAGAGTGAATTTCTGTGTACATTCAAACCTAGGTTTGAATCCAGTCTGCCCACCAACTATTTATTTTGACTAAATTCACTCTTGAATGTCATCAGTACTTTGTAATCATATTCGGTGGCACAACCTCAAAAACATCTCTGAAGTTTTGGTATTAATTGAATCATAAATTCGTGGCCTCCACAGGCTCACCTGCCACTTTTATCATGCGTGGACCATGAATGAGTATTATAAAGGCAACATTCACTATATAAAATATTCAAATATCTTCACTAGATACGTTATCAATAGTGTCCCCCTCACCACTTTCCTTCTCTTTATTCACATCTGAGCACGATAAATACAAACTCACGCACCTGTGATGGTTGTGTACGTTGTTCATACACTGAAAATGGTTGAGTTTTTGGGATTTTATACTCCAACGTCCTATTAGCTAGATATCTAGTATAGGAGTATGGCTGGGATGATTTTGAGAAGCCACCAGCACCTCTCAAAAAAACAGTCATCCTGTGAAGTAATAAAATCTTTACCAAATTAAGTACTGAAAAAGAAAAGTAGAAGTAGAAGTGTAAACCAAGTAGAAGTAGAACTGTAAACTAACTAATCTTGATAGTCACGTGAATAATAAGTTACCTGTTCATACATAGCATTTCACCCGTGTCTTTCTCATAACTTACAACTTCGATTTCAAGAACAGCTGCCTTAACTGCAGGAATAGAGGAAATGAATGATGTGTCAACCCTTCAACTTAGCTTATACAGAAGAAAAAATACCTATTGCTTCCCACTAAAGTCAACAAAGAAAGGCTCTATAAACTATGTTATTTACCTAAACATAATAAACCAGGAAATTTAGCTTCTCACAAGATGGGAAGAAATTTCTTTACTCCCACCAAACATCAAAGTCCAGTTTACTTCCACTTCACTTTTTATTTCACTCAAGATACTTTACTATCCTATCCATATTTGTTCTAACTTAATTTCAGAGCATGACTTCATAAACATATATCCAGATTGAGATTATCGAGGTTAATCTTTGAAGCAGACCTTTGTCGTGTAATCCAGCAACAGTTGCCTTATTTAGTATCTGCACCGACAAAATTAAAATGAAAAAGTGGAAAAACAAACAAATAAATGAAGATACGTAGAATTATAGATAATACTTAAAGGCTCAAGAACCTTACACAACCACTAGAAGGAAGGGGCTTGTAAATTTCAACATACTGTTGTCCATGCAACAGAAGATGCGGATCATATCTGGAGAAGGAAAATGGTGTTAGAAGTTAATTACCTTGTATTTTGTGAGGCAAGATGATTTATCAGAAGCATATATCCAAGAAACAGAGCATTCACGCGTTCAACATGCTAAAGCTTACACAAAAATAGAAATACTTACTGAAATCCTGGTAGCTGTGCAAGTTGTGAAGTAAAATCAAGAGAAAATAAAGCAGTAAATGTTGGCAAAACCTGTTAAAATATAAATACAAAAGTTAAAAATATTTCGTATCACAATAACCAAATATAGATATCTGCCAAACCTCAAGCATCTAAAATAATATAAAACATGACTCCCGTTGTCAACTCTCAATGACTAACTGCGCCATGGTCTAAATCCAGTTATCTTATCTAACTTCGTGCTGGATGTCTTTAGTTCCAACTTCTTCTTCTTTTTTTCTTTTTTTTTTCCACCTGTATTGGGATGGTGAACAATTGACCAGAGCACAACAGGTTTAATCATTCACCCAAGCCAAGTTCTCAACTCCACCACTCACTTTTATTGGTTAAAATTGACTGTCATCTACATCAATAATCTTTAATATAAAATATATAAAAATAAAAAGCATAAACAGGTGTGAAATCAAGAATGAACCAAACTCAATGAACCCAGAGAAGTCTAGGCTTTTGTCCATGAATGGCTTATGGCTTCATTCATTTCCACGAACCAAATTATAATAGTTTACCTGGATGGATTGCTGGCCATCATGATGGTAAACATATTTAAGCTCCTTATCATTCACGGCATCGTCTGCACATGCTCCAACACCAAGGGCATAGAGTGCAGTATCTCTACTTTTAAAGAAAACCATTAATTTTGACTTTCCTTCGTGCTTATGCTAAACAAAATAAATTGAAGTACTCTACCTTTCAGTATAACTATAAGTGATCTGGTAAGTATGATTCCCCGGCAAAAAAGCCAAGATTACACAAAAAGAAATAACAAATCAAATTCGATGGCGAAAACAAATTTGAATGAGGATTTAAAGAGAGGATTAAGAAAAGAAAAATAGAAATCACCTCTGGGAATTTGTGAGAGATGATAAGCTGGGGATCAAACTCTGATTTATCAGCCATGGAGGATATTAAGAGCTCGGAACAAAACAGAGAATTCAATATAAATCTATAGCAACGAACAAAATTAAGGGGTAATTTTTAGTTTGGCCAAGTCAAAGGGCCAATCTTTCACTTTAACCAAAAAATTTGGTACATAGGGGATCCATAATAGCGTTGAGTGTCAATTTTCATATTCACAGCCAATTTTTTTTTTTTTTTTTTTTGATACCCAGGTGTTCGAGCTTCGCCAGATTAAATCCTGGACCTTAAGCCTTCGACCCCTCATTAGCTTGAGAAAGTTAATCGCGGGTTGTACCCTTATTGACTTTCAGGTTCCTACATGACTTTTAGTTCTTTTCCCAAAAGAGCCCTCTCCACTGCCTTCACAGCCAATTTGTTTGTTAGTAGTTTTGTCAAAGCTCAATACACCATGCTTGGTTCTTGGCCAATGTGACATATTTTTATCTACGCAATTTACAATTTACTTATTACAATTTACATTTACATTTACACATTCTATAAGAACATTCGAACACGTGCACAAGTCGAAAATTCATATGTACTATTCACTTTTCTAAAGTATATATTAATCTTACTCATTAATTTTTTTGATGTTCCACATGATTCAAATTAACATTCATATTATTCAATTTAGAAGTCTGAATTCAAGATTATGCTTTATGAAAGGCTCAAGTTTAGGGTTGGGTATGGTCTGGTTGATCGGAAATTTTCGGGTATTTAGTAAGTGAAACCATGGATTCAAATTTAATTATGGAATCGTTCGGGTTCGGTTCCATTCAATTAAGTTCGGTCCCATTCGGTCCCGTATTATAATTAAATTTTTTAATAAATACAAAGTTATATTAATTTAATTAATAATATGTTCAATATTAGCTCTTAGAAAATAACGTAGTCCAATCTTATGTATCTTTTACGTCTCTTTTTGCTGAATTTTTCATAAATTTGATTATTAAAATTACAGGAAGAGAAAGATATCGTGCTCAAAATAATTAAGAGTGATGTTGTAGAGCTTTAATTCTATTTTATCCAGTAGAAATGACATTATAATAGAGTAACAGATTTGAATAAAATTGAGGTCAATTTGATTAAGTTGATTTTGAACTGAAAATTAGAAATAGAAAAATCATATTTTTTAGTTTGAACTAAATTAACTAATTAACAAATTTATTTAGTAAAAATAAAATAATTTTGCTTATTTAAAATAAATAAATTAAAAAATTAAAGAAATTCGATTCTTATTCTGTTTTTTGGGTCTTGACCTAGAACCAAAATTGAACCGTACCGTCGGTTCTTAATTCAAATATTTGTTCGAGCGTTTAATTTGAGAAGAACCGTCGGGTTCGGCTCGATTCAGTTCGGGTTCGAGTTCTATTCGAGAGTTTTGTCCAGCCCTACTCAAGTTGAATCTTTCATACTTGACACATTTACCTTTTGAAATATTAAAGTTAAATTCTGATATCAATTGCTCTCAAAAGGAAATTGTATTAAATTCGAATCATGGAGAACACAAATATATATATATATATAATGCTCAATTAATACCATAATTTGACAAATATCTATAGTAAAACAGTGGCCTTGAGTTTAATTCTAAGCGACTTGAAAGAAATTCGTGTAGTGTAAAATGAACACTATCTTTTTGTACACATGAATTAATGACCCTGATAAAGACTTGAATCGCTAAAAAAAAAAAAACATTGTCAAAACATATTGAGCCCATTCTTTGAAACTAATTTTCTCCAAACTCATTTCCAACTAGATATTCTTTTTCAATAAAATAATTTTATACGTAAACCCAAAAATTTTAATTACTTTATAGCCACACTTTCTATAAAATCTATTTTTTTGAAAAAGGGGGCTCACCGTCATCACACTTTCACATGCTGAGAATTACAATTACATCATATGCATTTTTATATACATAAAAAATACATCGTCCATTCACACACTTGTTTAGGGCTGGACAAAACTCTCAAACCGAACCGATCGAACCGAACCCAAACGGAACTGAACCGAACCCGATGGTTCTTCTCAAATTAAATACCCAAATGGGTATTTGAATCAAGAACCGACGGGCACGGTTTGATTCTGGTTCTAGGCCAAGATCCGAAGAACCGAATAAGAACCGAATCTCCTTAAATTTTTTAATTTATTTATTTTAAATAAGCAAAATTATTTTATTTTTTCTAAATAAATTTGTTAACTAGTTAATTTAGTTCAAACCACAAAATATGATTTTTGTATTTCTAATGTTCAGTTTAAAATCAATTTAATCAAATTGACATCAATTTTATTTAAATCTGTTACTCTACTGTAATGTCGTTTTTACTAGAGAAAATCGAATTAAAACTCTACAACATCTCTCTTAATTATTTTGAGCTCGCTATCTTTCTCTTCGTGTAATTTTAATAATCAAATTTATGAATAATTCAGCAAAGAGAGA